TAATTGAAAGAAGAAATGTCTTCGATTTCCTGGTTTTGAGCGCCCAAGCTATTATATTCGCTTTACGTAAGGCGCTCGTTCCCAATTTCTCCGAGACGAAAGAGCCAATGCAGCATCGCCGTCGCGTGCAATATAAGAGGATAATAATGCAACGGACAGTTGGCGTTTCCTATCGAAACTTCGCCATTTCGACCATAATAAACGCCCGACTGTGCATAACATCACCTTAACAATTGACAATAAAGTATTTCGCGGCGTGATACTTTCTTAGAAAATTTGCGCGCGGTTGTGGGAATATTTTTATTATGTCTAACAATTTGCCGACAATTCCCGTGTCAATTCAAGCGCGTGCTTGCAAGATGCTCACGCCCCTCCCTCTCTCTCTCTCTCTCTCTCTCTCTCTCGTCGGCAAAGAACACGGTTATAAATAACTCCACGCTTTCTAAATTTGCGATATTTTATGCCAGTTCATTCATTAGCATCCGACTATTCGTGATTTTTACTGGGTGTCGGTAAGACGCGTTCAGTTTTCTTTACGGATGCGTCGATTGACAAACGTACAAAATTTAACAATTATTTGTTTCCTGCTGCTGCATAGACATATAAAAGAACGAAGAAAAACAATCAGAGAAACGGAAAACACAATTATGGACGAGAATCAATTGCTTGGTAATTTTCCAAGAAATTATATTTCACGCAAACAGCTGGAAGAAACAGGAAAATACATTGCTTTACTAGAAAATTAGCTTCTTACGTTTAATTGCACCGTACTCAGAGGACAGAGATACAATTCCGCTTGCAAATACGTCGCGACAGTTCTTCTACAAGAACTACTCGCTGATATATTAACAGTGAAATTAAAATAAATGCGTTTATTCTGAGAGTGCAACGTTGATAAAAAATTGTGTAACTAGCTATCGATAATTACCTCACGTAATTTTCATTCACAAGTCACGCGAGACTTTTGTAATTACTTCCTGAAAGAGATTTTACACTGCGATCATATTCGTTACACGTATTTGGTCTTCATCGTGATGCAAGCTAACAATTTCTGTTGACTTTTCGGTCGAAACGCTATTTTCTCGGAGACGAGCATTATTTTCTCGTTAACAGGCAGAATTTCTCGACGAACTCTTGCTGCAATAATCGTCTGGTGGAGATTCTGATTATACCTACAGTATATTTATAGAGTTGTAAATTAAAAGAATCAATGGCAAATGTAATAATCGTTATGATGGTAACATTAACTCAAGTACCACGATAAACGTGACTATGATAGATCAGACACGATTCTTTCTTTCCGAGCGCCCGCCCGTGCCGTGATAAACAAGCGATTCCACTTGTTTTGTCTTCTCGTTGATAGTCCGACTTATATAACGATAACTATTCTTCGAATCTCATTATCAGTACAACTATTCCAGGCATGCAACCGATCAATAAACTTTATCTTAGCAGAACAATTTAATTTCAATTCAAAGTTTAACTGTTATAAGACGTTCTAAATTAGAAATATTTTTGCGAAATAATGGTTTTTTGGCTTTCCATAAAACTTGAAGAAAAGATTACAAATTGCATATCTATGTCTGACAAAATTTTGAAAGAAAAAAAATCTATGACTAAAAAGACATCCGAAACGCATGCAGTGCGTTTTTGTACATGATCTATTTGTTCACATCATATGTCGCATTAGCGTTCTTTAGTCGCTTGCCAGAGCAAATTTGCGTTTTTACCGAGCCCGAAGACGAATGTTAATTATATTAGCAGCATCGCACTAACGTCTCCCTTTTTCACTTTCGATCGTAAAGAGCTAAATCACGGGTTCGTTCGAAGCGACCTGTCGATCTGCACAACTCTGTCGATCGATTCCTTTTACGATTCGTCGAACGTTGCCACGACGCGCGACGCCGCAACGTGAAAATTTAGAAATCTCTGTGGAAACCACCACCGTGAACATAACAAGCTGAAAGCTAAGCTACGGCGTCGGCTCCGCTGTTTTTTTACACCGCAAACGATGGAATTTAATTCGCTTAACAATTAAACGAGAAATCTAACGCGGTAGACACAGGCGCACAGTTACTTGTTACTTTCCCTGCTGCGAAAAATTAGCAGGACCGTCAACGGCGATTTCTCCATAACGATTACAGTATAAGGACCGGTCGTTATCCCGATAATCGTGTGTTTACGCGGCTGCATTTTTCGAAGGCAGGGGATAACGGCACTGAAAACGTTACGGTGAATCTTGTTTTATTATTACTATTACTCCTTGTTTTTCATCATTATAATACTCGTTCCGTGGACTTACCTTGAGTTCCTCGCAATTGCAACGCTTACGATCGTCAATTAGATTAACAATCTAACGATAACGAAATATGTATCGATCTTTATTAACTTGCAAGAAAGTCAAGAAACCTCAAGCAACACAAAAAGAAATAAATGTTCGATACAACATAAGTATATTCTACTGCGAGATACGAATTATATGTGAACGTATATTCCAGTAATTTTATTACTCGTCTTGTTTTCTTTTAACGGATGTAGATATATATTATATTTTACGATAAAACATGTTCTCGCATTTTAATCTATATATTATATTTTTTTAATACAATCTCACCTGCACCAGAGCTTCCGGCTGTAAATGTTTCAAGAATTCACCTTGCGGCTGATACGATCCGTAGTTCTGCTGATGTTGAAGCTTCAACTCAGCCTGCATCGCTGCGATCGATTCCGGCGTGCAGGACGCTCTAGCCTGGACCCAGGATGCCGCCAGGATAAAGCTACCGAGCACGACGGACATCGTGATCAGAGTAATAGCGGCGATCCTGGCGATCTGCACAGCCGTGCTTTTCATCGGCGGTCTCATGTACGCCTGTAGAGAAGATTTCACTTGTCATAATATTTGAACGGAGAAAGAAAAAAGAGTTTAATATATCTATTTTTTTCTTATCACTGGCGCATCAACAGTGACAAATGAATTGGACTTCGTAGGAGACTTCTAGCTTCTAATGTTAAATAGTTTTAAAAAACGACAATGCCGAAGAGAACGTCAAAGGAGAGCGTGAAACGACAAAAGGCCTCGACTCGGTTGGTTAACCAGCGTGAAATCTCGCGTGCCATTGTGTGTGTGTATGTCGAGAAGAATATACCAGCACCTCTATGACAGGTGTGATATAGATACACACGTACGTACACACCCTCATACACGTATGTGTCTATGCATTTACGTGCTTTACATGAACATGAACACGAACAAATTGTGCTTTACCGTGGCCAGTTACACCGATAAGAGGGGGGAGAAAAAGGTGATTATGTAAAGTCTCGCATGTATGTTAATGTAGCTCGTTAATTCACTGCAACTTTTGATGAATATCGTGGAAAAGCGCGGTTTTCCTTGGCGAGTGAATGAGTTCTCCAAGTGTCTCCATTATTTTATATTCATTTTCCTTGACTCATATACTTTTTACTGACAATGAGAATATATCAGTTGATATCATATAATCCACAAAATCCTTATCAATTTATCTCATCAGTTCTTGTCGTCGTATAAAAAAAAAGAACTATATGTGAAAAAGATAGAACAGATCAATTATTTAATGCAATAAATAAATCTATATTTAAGTAACGTACGACTGTGTGTATGCATGTGCATACCCATTATCGAATAAACGGAATAACGTCCGTGTATCGCAGTCGGGCAAATTAACGACAGCTGAAAATAAACTACCGCGTCGTCATTTAACTCCTTCGAGAGCCCCGGGAATAAATGCGATAAAATACATCTGACGCGTGCTAACTGTACCTTGACATTATTATAGTGTAGCTCGGACCCGTTTCGACGCCCGACGCTTTTGTAGATCATAGACATTCGCCGCTATTTTAACGCGAACTCGTTGATTACGTTTGACTGCCGTGTTATGTAATTATGCTACATTTGGAATGTATATCGAAATGGACATTAAGCTGCACGTTAATTTCCGGGTCAAAGACATATTTTTTAGCTCTATCCGTTTTTTATTCACGATTATCTCCTATACGTAAAATATTTTTATGTTGAGATCAAATTATATGCCGAGCGATAATTTTCGGGATATAAATTTCTCTCTACGCGGGAGATGAGACTTGCACCACGGACTGTACTTTTACATACAATTCGTAATGACCTCGATGTGGATGGACGACTCGGGTGAGAGGCTTCCAAGAGATAGTAGGCCATCCGAGTCTGGCTTTATGCCGCGCGATCCTCCTGACAAAAGTAAATAGGTACTGTTGCCAGGTAGGCGCTCGAGACGAAAAAAATTATTATTTGTCCTTTAAGACATTGGTCTGCCCATTACTCGCGAGTCATTGACATTTACCCCGTCCGTGAAGAACGTCCCGGAACAATGAACAATTAATCATCGCGAACTGGTTCAAGAAGAATTACTAGGTGAGGCAATCTGAGTTAATTCGTTGAGAAGTTTCAGTCGTGGATAATGCATGGATTTATATAAATTGAATTTACAGCTTTGTTTTGTAGGACACAGCATGCGACAAGCTATATATTTTAAATTTATTCAATAACGAAAAAGAGAAAATAGAAAAGTGGTCAGGACGCTCTGGAAAATCGTGAAACATGTTTGACAGTTATTTTCAAACCGGTTAATTCCCACGACATATGATTTGAGACATCGATAACGCGCTTTGCACTTTCTCTCTAATATACATACTAGTGCAGAATAGACGTTGCACGCTTGAAATTAACAAATGAAAGCAACGTTTCCAGCCATTATTAACCTCTTTAAACCGTTGAACGCTCGCGAACATTTCTTTTGTTTCGCATTCGAACGAATAATGGCTATAGCACGAAAAAGAAGACAAGAAAACTTTATTCTGTACTGTATCATTTTGATATCTGAATATTTTCAGTATGTAGATATTATTTAAATATTATACATTTTAATTTTTAACTTTTCTCCGCAAAATTTTTTTCTTCTTTTGTCGACATTTTCTATATTTATCTGCAATATACACATGCATTAATCTCTCGAAGAAAAATGTTATCTTTATTGTGTCTCTTAAAGAAAATTTTTTACAATTTTGTAAATTAATAAATAAGAAATTCTTGTTTGTTCACACATATCTCGTTTTTTATTAAAAAATTTAAACGTTATCAATAAATAAATAACAGTGGATAAATTCTTATTAGAAGAAACAATTAAAGATTACGAAATAATATATCCGGTTTGAATGTCATATTTCCACGAGCATCAGAGTTTGGTTTTGTTTTACGTAACTGTGGACTGTGAGTTCATTACGCATACACGCGCGAAAAAATAAATGCCAATAATATGCAAGAGAAGCAAAAACGCGAGGACGTTCAGAATGACGAACGTATGTTCTAACCAAAATATTTTATTTATAAGTGTGATTTATAAGCAAAAAATGCAGCCAAAAAATATAAAATTATTTAGTGAAAAAACGTAAAATCTTCCTTTCTCTTTCTCTTTACTGTCACATGCCCGGCGATACGCGTGATGGAGCAATCATTGTTGCTGACGATATAGGCGGAAATGGCCTTAGGTTTTATATAGGAGAGGTCTGAATCCATAAAAAGTAAGGTAATACAATTTCCTTGCAGGTACTGCATTACTGCATATATTATATTAGTCGACGTTACATATGTAACTATACCGGTGTAGTTACACTGGCATTGATATTCCACGCCCAATGCGCGCGTTGAAATCTCCGGAAAGTTCGACGTGTAGGTAACGCGCAAGTTAAGTCTCACGAATGGTTGGTTGCTCAATGACAACATGAAACGTGAGACATTTCAAGCATTTCTCATGTTAAAGGCTCTTTGCTATGAAGTAGTAAAAAAATACTTATTTTTAAAAAGATATTTATGAAAACGTTATTTACGGAGTTTTAACGATTTGTTATAAGAAATTGTACATAATATATCATAATGTCATTATTAAACTGATTTTCGAAATTCGAAAACATCTTATTTGAATTATTGATTTTTTTGTGTTTACGTTCGCTAATTTCGCTGATGTGGCGAATCGTATATCTGTGTGTGTATGTATTTGCAGAAGAATGAGACGGTCAATTTGACGTCGTTTCGGCGTTCAAGGCTCTCGCGAATTTATAAGCATGGCACAAAGAGCTGACACGCATCATCGGCGAGTTTCGAAAACTTTATTTCATTCCTTGATTTTTTGCGAGGTTTAATCATTCTCCTTTTTACGTATATTCAAACGGTACTTACACAGTAAATGATCATTTTTTATTATCATAAATGTGACTTTATCAAACAGACACAAAGTGCTTCTCTCTAAATTACACAATTGACAAAAAGCAGATCCATAATTTCCTCGTGTTGCTTTCATAATTTTAATACCTATTATTTTTAAATAAAAAATGTTTTATATTAGTAGCTGGCTTGTAATGAGAAGATGTTTATTTATTATTAATTACGAACAAATAAAGATATAAATTTGTTTTATAGAAAAGTGGTCCTATGATCGTTTATACCGCATAATCGAATATATTATTTTCCGTAAAAATATTTTTTCACATATTCTCCATAATTTTTATCAGATATGCATATTCATGATAGTATGATGACAGACAGGAAGTCAAATATTCTCAGAAAGGATGTGTGTCGCATTTACAGTTTTTAGACGACACTTTTTCTCAAACTCTCTCGCTAGCCAATTAAGTATCCATCTTTAATGATGACACGATCACGATTTTCACGGCGGAAATGCATGCATCTCCGGTGGATATTTTTCGCTGTAAATATGTATTAAGAGTCACACACTTTTGCCCGTTGTAATTGCTGTAATTAAATCCTCAGTGTTTTTCTTGTTTAACGAACGTGCCACGAACTTCGTATATTGTCTTTGTTAGTACAATCTTTAATACTCTTAAAGAAGAATAAATTTTTCAATAAGTAAGTATGTATACGTAATGATTTCATAGAAATAGAAAATAGAGAACGATACATAAAATTTTGTTTTGTCACAAAATAAAAATATTTGTCTTAACATGTACATTTATTTCGTAAATCTTCTTTTAAAATTTTTTTTTAGTATTTTTCGATTATTTTTTATCTGTTTTAGAAATCAGCACAGATTGTAAAAAAAAATTATATTACAAGAAAAGTGCTATTCATCAACAATGTGTCTTTTGTGGTAACAATAATAATGATAAGGTTACAGGCCATTTGCTACGTTTTACGCTGCATTAAGTTGCTTCTTTTATTCCGAGATTTTGCACGAATCATTAGCACATTTTCTAGGAAAATTGCTTTATCTACCTGAACATTCTTTCCTTTATACCGACTTCCGTCCTTCAGAGACTTTTCCACACATCTATTTACGCAGTATTGCTGATCGATTGAACCTTGTACGTTATCTTTACACATCGGACAAGTAAGTCTGGATGCATCTCTGCGACGATAATTTTCCGACACTGACCCTATTTGCGAACAATCAAATTTCATTCGTTTCGATTTAAAGCGCATCTTAAAAGGCGCCGCGAGCCGCGAGTGCATTACGCAATACCAGCGATATCAATTTGCGAAACGCTATATTTGCATCCCAATTGCTTGTATTCAATCCATCGCCTTGTGAAATAGCAGCCGAAAGAATTATGCGTGTCACGTAATACTGTTTCATGGCGTCATTTCGGTTTTAACGGCGCCGGATATCGTCTACTCATATATTTATAGAAAAACAATGATATAATTGCGGTAATAACGAATATTCCATCGTAATATTTCGTCAATATTCCTTCCCGCGATAACGTTCACGCTTATTGCTCTGCAAATATGGTAGATTTGCATAATAATGTCCACAGCGAATAATATACCTATAAACACTTCCAAGAAGTTTTTACGTCACAAGATACTTTTTTTTTAATTTCTAAAGCGTCTCATCTAAAATTTGTTAAAATCGTTCATTTACGTATTAAAAAATTAATTATACTTGCGAGAATGTGGATAAGAGACCGATTGATTGTCATTACCATCGATAATGACAGGGATGTAGGTACATATGCAAACGCGAGTAAAATAATTGTGTGGATCATCCAGCAAACAAAGGATATCATGCGTGTGTGAGAAATCTACGAGCAATTGCTTTGCTGTAACTTTCTCATTATAGTGGCTAATGTTCAATTACGATAGAATGCCATTTTCCGAATTGCGATTACTTCTACACTCTACTCGCTATTATGTGTTATTTTTCTATTCAGGAACAATCGCACGTGTACGAAATTATCCGCCGTTCTAGTCTTCGTAATTGCTTGATGAGTGATTTCACATGAAGCCAGACAGAGCGTCGCGTTTTATTTTACAGCATTCTTCTTATAAAGGAGCTAGCTTTTTAATTGTAGTTGAAAATTATTTAGTTGAAGAAAAAAAAGAGAGAAAGATCGCTTATTATAATCGCATTTAAATATTATACTTCTTAGTATTTTAGTTATAAAAACTTTCTAAAATTGGATCTTTCAAAAAGAATGCTATTCTATAAATCAACGAAGCTATAGAAGCGACTTTAAAAACATTTCTTTTTTTATGTTTGTTTTATTTCTTTATACAATAGTATTAAAAAATAACATTTTTTATTAAATTAAAAATATTTGAGTCATAGGTAATTGGGACAAAAAAAGTTTTGAGAGCTTCAAATATACAAATAGACAGCAGAAATATTATTGTTCTTATTTAAGTTACTCAGATAGAATTTACTTAAACAGATGTGAAATATTTTATAGAAGCAGTAAAATTTACGCTAGAAAATAAAAATGCAATAACTATCTTATATATCGCTACAACATACAGCTTCGGTTTTGTGAGTTTTTATATATATAGATTATTCAAAACTTTAATTATTAATATAAATCTTTTAAAGATATGGAACAATATATAATGTGGAATCTTTAATGCGATTTATCGAACTAATTAATCAAACTTCACTTAAGAACTTGGACATTTTAATGAGTGAAAGGAAAAAATATGCATTATTAGATATACAAGAAGCGCTTGCCAGCAAACCACCTAAGATTACCATATTGTTGGACAGAACTTATGTTAGACATGATCAAGTCGTTTTTCTGTTACATTTATACACGTTAGTAAGTGTTTACGATACTTTTTAATGCAGTGATATATGTTAATTGCACTCTAGCAAGTACAGAGATCGCTTTCATGTACGTGCAACACTGACAATGAGTTATAGGAAATGTAGAATGTTCCGGGCCTTAGCAGATCACCGATTTTACTTGCAAATATTTCAAATTGCGATAAATGATCTCCCTAGTTTCTTTCGCTAAGAAAATAAATTGGTTCCAATCTGGTTGAAGAGCGAATGGATAATATAGATCCTTTGGACCGCTTCTAATCTATATGCGTTATAAAGCTTACCGGTGGTGGCTCGGTGGTGGAGTAGACCTCACTTGGCGCATAGTGGCTGTGGGTCTGCGGCATCTTCTCCGAGACGACAGCGACAGTCGCCAGGGAGTCCGGCTGATCTTTCTCCATCGTCTTTCCGATTCGGCTTAATCCGTGTAGCACAAAATGCACGGTCGAACGACCCGGGATATCTTCCTCTTCCTAAGTCGACCGAAGGATAGACGATTATTTAAAAACTCTCTTTCTCTCTTTTTTTCTCTCTCTCCGGGCCGGTACCACCCGGTCTCGATAGCTCGACGGGTCGACGAGCAGTGAGCGTCGAGGAAGCGTTGGCACCGCTAGCTTAGAGATGCCCCCACCTAAGTCGACGTGCACTACCTTCGGCAAACGTTACCTTCTGGTACCAAGGCGTACCCTCCGCGTACCGCCGCGCCGCGCCGACGATGGTGTTCTCGTTGCTCGGACTTTCTAAACACCGTGTGTGCGCGAAACACGCGTGAGTGAACGTGAGCGGTCCGCCGCTCATGTATGTACGAACGTGTGCACACGTAGACAGCGCACCATGATCGACAGTCATTCTCACGACCACTCACGACCCCATATAGCCTATAGGGTTTTAAAATCGGCCCAATACTGGACCGGTATTAGCTAATACTGGTCCAGTATTGGGCCGATTGTAAAACCCTATATAGGACGTTTTTATCGCCACGTTCCTCGTTCTTCCTCGGGGTTTGGGATAAAAATCACGGAATGGCTAATGACGAAGCGGAGTCGGGAGAAAAAATTATACTAGCACGCGCATCTGACCTTCTATTTAATTTTCGCATTTTCTTTTGGATATCTAATGTCATATTATCTGATTTCGATGATATATATATTTTGACCGCTTGATTGCCATGATCGTTCGCACGCGAAAAATCTTGCGGCGAGCTTTTTTCGCATGATGAGCGCCGCAGCGATCGCGTGCAGACTGTAGAAGCGACATTATCGGTCTCTTTGCAGTTCGCGGCGAACGTGTGCAGGAAGTGACGGTCGGAGAAGGCGAAGAGGTTCATGTTACAACGATAGTACGCGGCGAACCGTGCATCTATGTATGTAACGGGAGAAACGACACCGAGAAAGCACCGAAGCTCCTTCGCGACGATAACAATGTCTAATTACCGTGGGAGCGTCGTTAGCACGAAGTAACAAAAATTTAGATCTCTTGTAAAAAAAAAAGAGAACATACTGTAGAATAATAAAATATTCGTGATAATTGTCTACCACATACAGAGTTGCCTAAAATATCGCGTATCTGTGGCAGATATTTCAGCTAAATCGCTGAAAAGTAGAATTTTTTTTAAAGAAAGAAAAACATATAAATAACATATTAATTATAAAATGTAATAATATAAAATTGTAAATATTTTCAACGCACGTTGCATTGCAGCAAATCTGCGTGAAAATCGAAATTCAACGTTATCGCGGGATGACATTCAGACGTTCACATGCCTTTCGATTGCACGAGCAGATCGAGATCCTCATGGATAAATCTTCTTCGATTTACCTCGCGCAAGCGAGTGCTATTGAACGAAAGATAGACGTTTGTAAGTAGATTGGTAAATATATGTATGTACGAGCTGTGTGACGAACGGATCGCGGAGAAAGTAGGAAATGTGCTCCCCCGGAGTATAGACGTGGGGCCGCGTAGCAAATCGTCGCTCGCGATCGCGTATGGCATCTTGCGAGAAATAAAGAAGAAAAGAATGTCTGCGCGTCACGTTTTTGCCAATTATAGATACGACAGATATTCCGAAGGGTGTGGTCATTAGGATCGAAGGAGATTCGATATTAATGAGCAATCTATAATCGTGGAAAGGTCTTTTTACTGCCGTTGAATTAATAACTTCTTCGACGCGACTTCAACGCGTGTTTATGCGTGATTCATTACTTCAGGGTTCGCGCAAAAAACGCTTTTAGACCCACGCTCTACTCGACTAATTATCCGTTGGAGAGAACGTGTAATTAAACGCATAGAAAAGCGACGAATTTAATCGCAAACTAGCCGCACGCTCTCGCGATTATGTACACGCGATAATCGGCGATGGCGTTAACGAGGCCGATGGCATTTCGGCCGGATCAACGTCTTATCCGTGGATTGAAAAATTATCCCTTTGATTTGCCACTGAAAACAGTAAAATTTGCCCTAACAGTTTACAGTTCGATAAACATTATATCAAATAACGACCGCTTTCATTTCTCCTATAAATGGGGAAAAAATCTCCCGTTTCGATAATTAAACGTTTCGATTTACCATATTGGATACTTTCATTTCGTCCTCTCCTTTCGTTGTAGCTCTCAACTCGCAACGACGCAAAATAAATGTCTTCTCGATCTTTTTGGCTATCACCGTGACAAAAAGGATAAGCGTTCTCACGTAGTGGTCGTCTTCTTACTGATAAAATGAAAGATAACGCCGCGGCCGGCGCGGCGCGGTCGTAGACACATCTCGGGCTACTTCGCCTTCGGGTAAGGCACCGCTGAAAAATATGGTTTTCTCCATGCGCGGGTGGGGAATTGCATGTCAGTACATAAAGCGCATAATCATGCTTGCTTAGAATCTTTTGATCCTCTTCGTGTATAATGTATCGCAAATGGATGGCCGCGTCACCATTCGCGGATACTCGCTTTCTCCGACAGTAATGTAGACGCCACTTCATTTCCGTTGCACCCCGCGCTCAAAGATTTATGGAATAAATCGTTCGAAATGTGCTTTCTGAATTCAGTTAGTTGAAATTACAAGCCTTTTGTTGTCCAAATAAATTAATTTTCCATACTATTAAAATCCTTTGATTTTCAAAAAAATAAGATCGCGAACAAAAAGTTCATATTTTTCGTATTTTTATAAACATATTTTTTATATGTAGAGATAATATAAACTCTCTTTCTCTCTCTTCCTTTCATTTCTGCAAAATAAAATTAAAAAGAGAACGTATTCTAAACATATTAATGAGATGCATAAATTAATGAAATGTATGAATTGGCATAAAGTAATATATATGTTTACGTCAGTCTGTAACTTTTAACTTATTTTTTAATGGTAATTACGAATTTAATAAAATATATTATTTTGGAAGAGGAATTAATGAAATTGGTGATGACCAAAGTGTATGATGTACCGTTTAGCGCTACGTTCCTGAATAGAGAAAACTGCTACTATCTATTTCTCACGCAACATCTTGACGATGGATGATCTATAAACGTTGTAACGACTATGTTCGATGTCTATCCATAAATCTTAATGATCTTTAATCAGATCGTAAAACGAAGATATGTAATATAAACTGCAGATTTTAATATTTTGAAATACAAAATGTTCGGAAATTATAAATATGTTTATTTGTAATAAGTATTTTAAAATGCAGAACTGATTCCTTTTATCTAACAATATTAATTGCTTAATTACATTCATGACCAAAATATTTCGCTCTAAATTTGAAAATATTTTATTTAATATATTATTTATGTATTATTATTAGTATGTACATTATTTATAAATATATTACGGATTTGAATCAAAACAACTATTATTATTTATTAAGATGTATTTGTAGTTTCATAAATCATCGCTTTATTATAGCCGCACAATGCAGCCTTTTCTCCCAAAGGATGCCAATACGCGTCTACAACCGACATATTTTTAGACATTGGCACAGAGCTTGCGCCTTTTCGAGTCCATTCGTACACGCGTGTACACTCGGAAAGTACAAGCAATCGTGGGTGAACGGGACTCCATTTGATAGCTTAACATAATAAAATTACTGCATTAATATCTGAAAAGAGTTGATCAATTTTTGTTGATGTACCTGTAATGGGATTTTCAAGTAGCAAATAATCCAGATAATCCGTACAGATGTCCCATATCCACAATGTAGTAGGATAAAGCTCGTGTTTCAGAGCCAGATATTGTCCACATGAGCTAAATTCAAACAGTTTAATCTTCGCTACCGAAAAATTGTCGTTATTGTCCTTCTTTCCAATTTCAATGCAGATGGGCCGTTCATGTATCTCACGTACTGAAATTCAACAAAAAATCAAAGTGCTAGAAATCTGTATTGAGAATATAATTAAACATTTTTTTGCAATAACAAACGTGTTTCAAACGTGACAAACTTGAACTCGCCAATGTATCGTTCACTTACACACGCATTCCTCGCAGGATGCGAAACGTTTATTAGAAACTTTCTCCGAATCGGCGCATTCCTTGTATACTTTCGTTAAATAATTACATTCCCTGATTACTGGATCCATATATAACTTCGACAACGGTTGCCATGTGATATAATTAAGAAGGACGACCTGGATACAGATTTTAAATAGCCGTAAATACGCGCAACAAAAACGAGATAATATATAATGCAGCGTGGCCAGCGTGATTAAATTTACCACTTCGTTAAACCCGATTACAGCCAACAGCTGTCCGCTGGGGATCCATTCGACATATTCAATTCCTCTCAGCTCCTTCCCATAGCTGCATGCCTCAGACGCGGGCTGGACTGTTTCCAGCGGGGAAAACGCCGCCACGTGTTTCTCCAACGCGATGGAATAAACGATCAGCTTAGGTTCGGCGGGAGAGGAACACCATATGCATAACAATTCGTCGTTCGGTGACCAGCGAATCCCGTCGATGCCGTGTAAACGATCGCAGATAAGTTTCTGAAACAATTCATCGATTTGTTATTTCGCGCCAATCCGGGATACGTCGGCGTCAACGCGTCCTAGGAAATTTTTATGGCTGCCAAACTGGAAGCGCAGGTGTAGTTTTCTAACCTCATTATTTCCTTTCTAGCAACAGTTTATTTTAAAATACGCTGACAATCTATCGAAAATCCCTTATAGCTGCGTCAACTTATGCTAAGACTCCATAGACGCGGAAACGCCGTGCGGCAGAGTGCGTTGACCAATCACAAATTTTGATTTTGCCGCAGGCGACTTGCGGCAGCCTTCTGATTGGTCAATGCACTCTACCGCACGGCGTTTCCGCGTCTATGGAGTCTTAGCATTAGGCTGCATTCGAGGAGCGCGCTATTAGCGCTATTGCATCATTCTGTCTTTATCGCTCATCAGGTGTAAAACAAGGATAGAACAAGCAAATAGCGCTAATAGCGCGCTCCCCGAATCCAGCCTTATATGTACTTTTGAGCTATAATTGAAATTTGAGGCTTCTCTCTGAGATAAGAGCCGCGTGTGCACGGAGAGAAAAAGGAGAGAAAGTGCAAAAGTTCAACTAAAAAGAACAGATTCTACCCCTACCCTACCCTCGTTGTGCGCACATAGCACATGTCAAAAATGACCGCCGCCGTGCCGCCGTATCGTGACCGCATGAATATTTGAAATTTGAAGCATTCTCGCTGGTCCTCGCAACGATTCTCAACATGCCGTACACTTACACCGCCTGCTCATGCAACCGCGTTCCTTACTGCGCCGACTGGGGCATCAACGGGCTACTCTGTTTCGGGACGCGAAATGCGGTTGCTATATACGACCCAAGCAAGCACATCGGCCGCGTGACGCACACGCTGCACCTGCATCGCGACCGCGTCAACACGGTGCACTGGATAAAAAGGCCGCGGAAAGTGCACGGATACCACGCGCGGGAATCGGAATTGCTGTCGGGCTCCGTGGACGGTACCGTGATCATCTGGAGCCAAACTTATTCTGATCGTTATGACTATGAGAGCAAGACTACGTACCTCGCGCGTACATCGGTGTTGAATGTAGGGAGCACAGTTGCCTTTGCCGATTCTCTCCAATTGTCCGACGATATCGATGTCGAGTTTGGCAAGCTACTGATATGCACAGGTTCGATCAACGGCGATATAAAACTATGGTTGAGAGAAGAAGACGTGAAGGATCCCAAGCACATCCAGACTATAGATTTCGGAAGACAGTTACCGATATACTGTCGCTTGACGCATCTGCCAGACAACAAATGTCCTCTTTTGGCCGTAGCATTGGAGGACGCCTCTATTTTGCTGTATACCACTAGATTCGATGCAGATTCTAAATTGGAACCATCTTTTGTAAAAGTCCAGCGTTTAATTGGACACGAAGACTGGGTAATATGCATGGATTTCACTCAGGATGGCGATGGAAATCTTTTCCTTGCAACAAGCTCGAAAGACAGCACGATACGATTGTGGAAGATCAGCGAAACTGTTGAAGAATCGTCGAGCGATGAACTTAAACTGGAAAGTAATTGTTTTACAACGGACGATAAACAATATAATATTACTCTGGAATCTGTGCTCTGTGGTCACGAAAGCTGGGTTTACGGTGTGCACTGGCAGCCTGTGGAGTCAGGCTGTGGGAAAGTTAACCGTCAAACAATGAAATTGCTATCCTGCTCAATGGACAAAACTATGATTATATGGGAACCAGCTGAGATTATGAACGGAATATGGACAGAGATGGTACGAGTCGGAGAAGTTGGTGGTAATTCCTTGGGCTTTTATGGCTGCAAATTTGGCCCGGATGGCACGAATGGACAACATATATTGGCATATGGTTACCAGGGCTCTTTCCATATCTGGAAATGGTCTCAGGAAAGGAATAAGTGGCTTCCACATCCTACGCCTGGTGGACACTTCTCTGAAGTAGTTGATTTATGTTGGGACCCGAAAGGAAGGTCCGTATAGTCTCATCTGTAAAATGATCTTTTTATATGTGGTTACAATCCTTAAATGTTTAGAAATTTGCAGATAAATGCAATAGTTAGACATTTTTTTAATGTTATTATAATCTTTTTGATTCAATTGTTCTGCAGATTATATACATTTTAATTTAATGTCGTAAAATAATTTTTTTCAAGTTTATCATACTTAATAGATATAAATTATTATGTTTTAATCTGTATGCGAAAATTACGTCAAGTATCTTGATTGGATCAGAATAGATAAAGATAAGTCGAAAATCTGAAAGAAATAATTATATTATATTACATTACTCTTTGCAGATTTCTCATCACAGCCAGTGCTGACCAAACCACAAGAATTCATGCGCTGTGGAAAAGCGATGATGAGTTGCACAGAGCGTGGCACGAGATTGCGCGTCCTCAGGTACATGGATACGACATGACCTGTTTAGCTATGTTAGCACCCCACATATATGCTTCTGGAGCGGATGAGAAGGTGGTGCGCATTTTCACGGCCACGTTTATGTTTAGAAATCAATTATTAAAATTGTGGGCGAATGTCGAAGATTTTCCATCCATAAAGGCCCACAGTGCTGCTGTACCCTCTCTCGGATTAACAAACAAAGCAATGTATGTGGGAGAAAACGATGAAGATACAAAGAATTTAGCGACGGGAAACGTATACGAGCCGCCTACGGAAGAGGACTTGATGCAAAATACTCTTTGGCCAGAAACGAATAAGCTTTACGGACATGGCTACGAAATATTCTGCATGGCAGCGAGACACGACGGAAAATTGCTAGCTACAGCATGCAAATCAACCACTCAAGAACATTCGGCAATCTTATTGTGGGACACCGACACCTGGTTACAAGTTCAAAAATTGGTCTATCATCAATTGACTGTGACGCAAATGGAGTTCTCTCCAGATGACAAATATTTGCTGTCTGTATCCAGAGACAGAAGATGGTCGTTATTTAAAACTACAGATGCACATTACGAGTTAATCGCAGCCAGTTCCAAGAAAGACAATCCACACTCGCGGATAATTTGGTGCTGCGCCTGGACGCGAGACTCGAATTATTTCGCGACTGGATCCAGAGACGGAAAAATCGCTATATGGCCCATAAACACGATAGAAGATATTACACCAAAGATGATTATAGACGTGCAAAACCAGTCAGTTACAGCGTTATGCTTCGCGCCAATCGTCAGGGATCGATCTTATTTTCTAGCTATCGGATACGAGACAGGATGCATAGAATTTCGAGTAGTCTGTCCAGCAGTGAAGTTAGACAATGGACAGTCCGCTGTATGCTCCAGAAAGGTGAAGGAGTACGATACTTCCCAGGCTCATCATTTAACCGTGAAAAGACTCATGTTTCGACCTAAGACCAATAGCTCCTTTATGTTTGAATTAGCAAGCTGTAGTTCCGACCATTCTGTTAAGATACACTATATACAAGTAGATTTATAGATTTCTACCTCAATATTGCTCTTTATATAAAATTATACGAAAATATCTTGTAAAATATAAAAAGTAATCTCTAAAAAAGATCTACATGTTATTTAATATTCTACACATTGTTTTAGTCAGCTGTACTTACTCGGCTTATCTTCCAGTTCTCAGTTTTGTAAATCTCTACCGTATCTTGACCTTCTTCCGTAATTATTACTGCTAATCTCTTACAGTTGGGACTAAAATGTAATTTATCAAAGGAAGACGATTTTACATTCTGTATATGCGACACGGTCTGTTCTTCCAAGTTCCAAATGGATATTTGAATCTGTAAAATATCTTTTGTGTTATGCTAGCATATAGGTTAGGTTTTTCTCTTTTCTTTTATATAGCAAAAAGCAAAATGCGAATGTTACCGATAAATATACACTTACGTTAAAATCTGCTATGGTGCAAATGTTTTTACTATCTGGGGACCAGGTAACGCTTTGCAAACCCGCACTGCCCTCGGTAAGTTTACATTTCCATTGGGGATCGCGTATCGAATATACCTGAACAATAGCTCTTTTTATATTCGCGCAAAGAATATATTCGCTGTTTAAAGACCACTCCATATACTGTAATGTAACAAAGATAAAGGTATAGATATTAAACACAAGTAGAAACGACAGGTGGAGGTTTAACTTTTCTTGTCGATATACAGACTAACCTGTATCACGTCCGTGAATACGAATGACTGACAGGTACAGAGAGTCCTCGCATCCTTTATGAGCAGATTCGTTTGAAACGCCACCGCCAGATACGCTCCATTTCTTGAAAAGTGACATAAACGGTTGTTTATGCGAAAAACTTTGTCTTCGTCGGCGTTAGCGGCCATTACGACAGATTTGAAAGCTGCGGTTTCCTTGGCAACCTGGCAACCTGGGTCTCAGTAATGTCAGTATCGCCAATCGTAATGCTTGATCATCTAAAAATCTAAAAAGTTACAATTTGTAAAATTGTTGTGTAAAAAAATTATTAAACGTGTCTTTGATTAACATAATGGAATATATTCTTCTTTTTAGTCTAAATTATAGTCTCTATAACCTCCCACGTCTTTCAGGTCGGAGCAGAGAGTGAGAGAGTAGAGACCATGGAAAAAGAAAGATAGAGTTGCTAATTGTAAGCGGAGATTGATGACTTGCGTTGCTTGCGCGCAACGCGTCTTGCGAACACACTTGTTCCATGGTCGGTATCTGTCAAGCCGAAAGCCGAGCCGAGCCAAGCCGAGACTGCCGAGAGTCCGAGAGGCGAGACGAGGCGGAAGACGGACGAAACGGACAAACGGAGCGACGTCGGACGTCGGGTCGGACGTCAGACTGTCGGAGTCGGAGTCGGTAGTGAGATCGTGAGATGGTGCGCGGCGACCGCGACGTAACGTGCGGTGTGCAAAGCAGTGGCCAGTCCAAAATAAGATTACGAGCGTCCGCTTCGCGTGAATCGCGCACCACTGTCACATCGCGGTCTCGACGGTCTCGTGCGCTCGTAAACGTGAACGTCGCCGACGTCGCCGTCGTGGAGGGCGCGATGCCGCGATAACGCGGGGCGCGGGCTTGGGCTTGGTTTGCGCAATGACGTGATTCTCGCGCTTGGCCGCACGTTTTACGTGGAGTCCGCCAGTCCGCTGAGAAGGGCGAAGGGCGGAGGAAGAAGAGATAAGATAAGGCCGAGAAGGGCCGCCTCACGGAGCCCTCAGCCCCGGGGTGCACTGGTGCAGTGTCACGATATGCCGCTGCGTTCCAGCCGGCCGAGGGTTAACGCGTTGTTGACGAGGGCCGCACTTTTACGCACGCCGTCGACCCGGTGAACAGAATGGGCAAGCAAAACGGCTCGTGCTGGTGGTGCGTCAAGGCCGTCAAGTGGTTACCAGTGATTTTCATCCTGACGATCGTCGCGTGGTCCTATTACGCCTACGTGGTGCAATTGTGCTACTGTGAGTACCCGGGCTAGTTTGCCTAGTTGCCTATAGTTTTGTCCTCGGTTGTTCCCTCGACCGGTCTCTCAAGCCGACGACGTCCTCGCTAATTTTGTCCCACGCTCACGCACACGCGGCAGGCGGCAAGCGTTGGTCGTAAGAAAAAAAAAACCCGCGCTTTCGGGATATCGCCTATCGCCCTTTCCGGTTACGCTTGATCGCGTTCATGTTTTCTTTGTCAATGACGTAATTGAGCAATTGAAATTTTCTTTATCTTGGTATTGTAGATCTTAATCTTACAAATAGCGTTATTCCTTTTGCGATATTTTTTTTTACATAATCTGTGCGATTGTGCAAATGTCGGTGATAAATGGAGGTAAAATAAAACGGCAAAATTCCACTCGATATTTACATATATACGTAATAAATATATACACAAAGAGAGCCATTTTATATAAACGAAAGTCTTGTTTTGCAATCATGTCATAGATATACGTGTGTATATGTTTATAGATCAGTGGCATAGTTGCAAAATCAAGCTTGCTTGAAAACTTTATATTACATTATTTTATATGTTTGTTTGTTTCAGATACAATAGATAATTATGTTCAAGAAGGTTCGTATATTATTTATGTACCAACTTTTTCTTGCAATTTACTACTTTATTTGGCTGTTTTTATTATTTCTATAATTATAACTCTTAGTGTTACATACAATGTCCAAGACTATATTCTAATTCTGGGAAGCAGTCCATGCGCACATCCAACACTTTTATTGTTTGCATATGTTAACAGCTTTCTATCTGCTTTTCTTCCACATCCTGATTCTGATGTTTTTATGGTCGTATTGGCAGACGGTGTACACAAATTTAATACCAGTGCCGGATAAGGTAAATCTCTAAAAGTCTGTTATATAAAAGACAATTTATAAACGATTATTTACATATATTACAATACAATATAAATGATCTATATATTTTTTTAATCTTTATAGTTTAAAATACCTGTTGTTGAAATGGAGAAATTGCAACAGGCTGAAACTGAGGAAACGCAGAGACAAATTTTGGAAAGATTTGCACAAGATCTTCCAGTTACTAATCGCACCATAAAAGGAGGTAAGAATTTATTATTATTATTATTATTATAAATGACATGATTTATTATAAAAAAAATTATAGCTAAAAATAGGAATTGTTAAAAGAACTTGAAGTTTATACTGATAATATTCTTTCTTTCTAGCGATGCGCTTCTGCGAGAAGTGCCAGTTAATAAAACCTGACAGGGCACACCACTGTAGCGTATGTGGTACTTGTGTCTTAAAAATGGATCATCATTGTCCATGGGTGAACAATTGCGTAGGCTTCCACAATTACAAATTTTTCATGCTGTTTCTGGCGTACGGACTTATCTACTGTATGTTTATTACCGCCACATCTTTGCAATACTTTATACAATTTTGGAAAGTGAGTACAATCTTTTTTTCTTTTGCAATGAATTATAATTTATACGAAAGTGATTTATTCAGATTGTATAATGCCAAAATGTAATGTGTATATTGATAAATTAATTTTCATTTGCGATTTGTTTTGCAGGGCGAATTAGACGGAATGGGTAAATTTCATTTACTATTCCTTTTCTTCGTTGCGCTGATGTTCGCCGTCAGTCTTACCTCTCTTTTCTTCTACCATTGCTATCTCGTTGTGCACAATAGATCGACACTAGGTAATTATTGGATATTTCCATTTTCATATTACAACAATACTTGTCTATAATGTTGAATCAGCACCATGTCACTGTATTTACAGAGGCCTTTAGAGCACCTATGTTTCGAACAGGAAAAGACAAAGATGGATTTAGTTTGGGAAAATACAATAATTTTCAGGAAGTATTTGGAGATAATCCACGACTCTGGTTTCTACCCATATTTAGCAGGTACGTGCGTTTCATTTCTTTAATATTTTATACGCGATAAAATTGTATAATTTACAAAGTGGGAACCATTTGCGCAATACGTAATAATTGAACTATTATATCAATTTGTATGCTTCTAGTATACCGCCTATCATAATCTTTACCATAAAAAAACAACTATACGGTTTGGCATACTTAAACGAAATTTGAATACGGTAACATAAGTACTGCAGGGTCTTGAATATAAAGTGTGAGCAATTCTGATCGTTTCAAAGTTTATTTTCCTTCAAAGAAGCAAAATAATCGCATGTTTTATGTGATACAATTTTTAAATTTTTGATTAGTATTTTTCTATATATATTTTTATCTATAATTAAATGGAGAATGTTCCGATTATGTGTGTGTAAGATATATATCTCGGATATATATATATATATATATTTTTTTATAAAAACTTTTGGAGAATTTCCATCTATTGATGTAATAGGAAGAATATATGTTAAAACTACTTTATTATATTTATGTGTTATAATAATTACACAAAAGAGAAATCTATTGTATGATTATTTATTGTATTTTATAAATCAGAGCAGGATGCAGAGAAAGATTGTTACATAAGTGAAAATTTACTGTTTTCCATCTTTCACCTTGTATATAAAATCTTCCCGTTTTCCAATAAGTTTTTTTTTTTAGAAATGTGGATATAAAAACTTTTTATTTGGGTGCACTGTTAGTTAGTACGCAACTCTTGCACTTTCAAATTATTCTTTTGAGCACTATAATTATTTGCACTCTTATTGATAAAAGATAGAAGATTCAGTATTTTTAAATTGGAGTGGTTGCATTGGATGTGTTCTAGTCTGGGAAATGGTGTCGTCTACCCAGTAAGATCGCAACACCAAGGCACACCCAATACTTATGACTCCATGGGCAGTACTCAGAACAGGTCAGCATTATACAAATTTTAAACAAAAGTGCAATATTAATTACCTTGATTCTTTACTGTGGAACTCGTTTTATTTCTTTGATAAAGATGTGATTGATATGTACATAAAAGTTTTTAATTTGTTAAGTTTTGAAGAAAAAATTGTGAGAAGAAGTTTTCCATCGTTTACTCTTAAGTTTGGTTATTTTATTTTGCTTTTAATCAAAATATTTTCTTGCTTTTACGTTTATATTTTTATATATCTCTTTTTTATTTTTTTGTAGAGTTCCAGAGTAATGATAAGACCTTTAAGTGCTTCCAGGCTGCATGCAACGCATTTGTATCTTTTTGTTTAACGCTGACTATCACTACTAGCTCTATTACTATTCCCCAATTGTTTCCTAATATAACTTGAGCTTTTCTATACAATTTATCTGCAAGGTCTATAAAATCGAATCTTTCTGCTTCTGAGAAGATATTCTTTGCAACTACAATTATATTTGACAGCATTGACACGGTTCACACTTTGCATATTTGTAACTTTCGGTAAATTTATGTTTTTAGTTTTTTTATTGAAATGTATTTTGAAGGAAAAACAGTAACAGGATATTACTACAAAACAAAGAAATGGATTTTTAAAGTCTCTGCAGGGTTCTGTAAAAATATATTAATTATATTTAACATCTCATTTATAAATAAAATATGTATTTGTTACAGAATGTATACTGAAAAATTTAACGATGATATATTTTCAAATGTATCTATATAAAAGAAATTAAGAGATTGATTTTTATGGTAAAGTTGCATGTCTTATATTATATTATAAATTTCGTCTTATATCATATTAAAATTTTAGTTGAAGACTAATTCGTGTAAAATTTTTATATAATTATGACGTGAGGTATTGTGCATCTGGTTCTTACAGACAGTACTTTTAATATAAAAGTAGTGTAACTATGTACAATTATCTTTTTTTTTTTTTTAGAAGAAGCATCTTTCTTTTACTTGTTTTATGATGCTTCTTCATTTCGAACGTTCATTTTGTGAAGTCGGGGTTACATTAATAAATTAAACGAAAAAATAAAAATTGAAAAAAATGAAAATGTAGTAAGATGTAGTTACGCCATAAGGGCTGTAGACATGGGATGACACCGAGTAGAAGGTAGGGTATGGCTTGCAGTTTTGGAGACGGGGTAAACTTTCCCGAGCGGCTGTGCAATGAAGATACTCATACTCTGTTGGGCCCCGGCACCCAACAATGGAGTGATGAAACCGAATTTGACTCCCCATCTCCCTACATAAATCAGGTACTTCATAGGCTCGATCCTTAGATCAAGACAATAATTTTGTTTAAATTGATCAAAGCGTATCAAAATGCTACTTTACATATAGCAATTATTTCTCAAATTATACTTATAGATAGATATTTGTTATTATTTAACAGTTTACATGTAGCTGTAAATAATATCAGCAATTGAAGTACAATGCATCTCCCATCATTCATGACTAATTTTAATGACAGGTTTTCTGACGAATTTGGAATCGGTTTTTCTTAAAGGAAAATATCGAGGCAATAACTGTTAAATTAAAAAAATGATTGATCTTGCAAATTAAATTTCTTATATACAAATTAAATAATGAAGTAATACTTTCCTTAATTTTGTTAATTTGAAGTATAAACAGAATTTAAATTTAAGATCAATTAAAAATTTGATTATAGAAATATATAACATTCAAAATTGAACTGTTATTATGATGATTTCTCAATATTTACTGCGAAGAAAACTTAATTTTAAATTTATCAGAAAATTAAAATTAAGATCATGAGCTGTGGGATGTGTTATCTATTCGGAAGACTTGGCATATGTTCTCGCAATGTAGTGTGTAAATTGATGTACCTAGACAACATTTTAATTGTTATAAAATGAAATTCGTATTGTATTATCAATAAGTATATATTATTGTTATGCACTATTTCTCTTAATAACAAAATTATATATACATTCCAATAGTTAATTCAAGCATTCTTACCTTGTTGCTAAAAACGGACATTTGTATTTATGATAAAGTAAAAAAATATATACTAAATCATCTGTAAAGAGGCAGTTTCTTCATAAAAATAAAATTTTATTTACAATTATTCTTTATCTTATCCTATATTTACGGAAAGTTCCTATCCTACGTTTACAATGCCCATCAATAAATGAAAATAAAATATATAATAATATTAAGAAATGCAAAAGTACAATTTGCACAGTATTATTTACAGAAGTATCCTGATTAGACATATTATTTATTGATATCCAGTATATAAATGCATCTTTAAGGTTTTTATATTTTACATATGTATTATATAAAGTTTTATCATATAAATATGATTATAAAATACATCATACTATACGAGATTACAGTAAGTTTCAGACTTTACTACTAATAAATGTTAAATATTATTCTTTTACCGAGTGCTCCTGCTTCCACAGCAAACTAATTGTGAAACCGTTACTATTTCTTGTTTTTATTTTCCCTTTTGATAATTAATTAATTTTAAACCAAATTGACAAAATTGTTTGAAATAGTCCATATTACTAACTTGCCACACAAAATAATTTTCGTTATTACTTTAATATCTATTAAGAAATATAAAAATAACAAATAATATTTACGTTAAGTTTTCTTTTACTTGATTGAAATAAATTAATATCTTTTTTCATATTTTTTATGTTCTTGTATAGTATATATGTTTCAAATTTGTTGGTTTCAAGTTATGAATCGAATATGTAATATGAATTTTCTTTACAGTGTGTATATATATCTAAATATTTAGATATAATTATACACGTCATGCATAGGTAAATATAGCATATCTCTTTGGTATAATCCATCCTACTGAATTTTTGATTGATCACAGGTCCACCATTGATCAAATGACATTGGTACAAGAAGCTACAATTTTGGCTCTTGGCGCTGGGTAATATTATCTGTAGTCTTGATTAAATATTATAACTAATCTCACGCTTGCATGAACACGTACATATAAAGTTCTATCAAAATTTGGGCGTTATTCTTTTTTTATTCTATGTTATCTTGAATCTCTCTATTTGATCTATATCTAACATATCTTCGCCTGGGTGATGAACGCAAAACACCGCTTTTATTTTTATAATGATTGTATTTATAACAATATTTGCCGGAAAGCTATATGAAGCATTAATTTTTGTTTTTTTTTGTGCAATATGTGATTGACAGCTTTTGTGTATGTTTATTTTTCTGTCATAATAATAGATAAGATCTCCATGTCCCGTACTATTATCAAGATTCTGGAAATAATCCTCTTGATACAATATGTTCAAAATATTTTACAGCACTGCTGTGATAGGTCCTTCTGTGGATGTCGACCAACCACTGATGAATATCACAGAAGCTGTCTGAATAACACCGACAAATCTGTACGCCATCACGCAATTGCAATTTTATTTTATGGTATTTCGACCGTAATCTAGAATATAAGTTTATATTACTTTGTGCTTTCTTATGTTTCAATTCTCGGCGTTGTGCGTTTAAAGTTTCATAGGTACTGTTATTGCGAAGGAAATTCACACTGAATTGTTATTGCAGTCAACGCAAGAATTTTTAACTTTGCGGTTTGTCCCGCAAGATATTTTGAATATTAACTGTATTATATATATTGTAATATATATATATATATATATATGAATTCGTTGTTAAAAGTATTGTTATGATTACTTGTAGTTTTAACCGTAATGAATCACATATAATTGAATTACCCTGTAGCGTAATGTATAATGTCGACTTTTCAACAAATTTGTAATTGATTGAGTGTGTAGATTACAAATTGCATCATAAAATGATGGAAAAAATCATTGCAGTTCAATTCAGAGGATACTGCATTAACAGTAATCTTTGTCAAAATATAGGCACCTACATCTGTGCTAAACAAAATAGAAATTACAAACATTTGCGAATAAAAATTTCTCCATACTTTATTGTGAAAAATAGATAGGATGATTCTAAATTTATAGTAATTCCTTATTAGGATTTTTATGTAAATTACATGTATAATTTAGCAATTTTATTACATGTTTGATATTT